TTGTCGTAGTGTGAGCCGAGGTTTACAGGCATTCAAGCATCGGATCCTTATCCTTAGTTATAGTTTTGATCATAATTATCGTAACGTCTGGTCTATATAACGGAGATCCTGACAATGTCCGCCCCTGGGCATCGATCGATTTGTTGTAGTCAATCGTGTAGACGATCGATGGATTTTCCGTATCAAAGTATCGAGGTTCGTACGCCAGAAACTACGGCTTGCTCTGTAACGAATTGCAATGACTGCGAGATAGTGAAGATCGATGGAGATAGCAATAATATAAAATTATCAAGCTAACTTAGCTCTGCGAATGTAGATCATCGGTGGGTTAGCAATAAGGCGTGATCGTGGATCGAATTAAACCGAGCATAACCAAGGTGTATATGAATTCATCTTTACCATAATTCTTATTGTCACGAAAATATTGCTCTGAAAATTACTATTCATTGATCGTTTCTGATATATATATCTATATTTAAATGGAGAGATGTTTAATACAAATTTCCTGAGACATCTAAACAACGAGATCTGAACAATTAAAGGTAAAAAAAATTGATTTCTGAAAAAGCTGAAAAATTTTTACAAAAACCTGGATAAAAAATACATTTACTGAAATATTTACCTACATGGAAAATAAATTGTAGTGAAAACTACAACAGGTGTAGTTCAACTTACTACACGTTTATTTATTTACTTATTTATTTTTCATTCGTTGACTCAACTGCTTACGCCAATAACAGGGTCACTTAATTAATGATAATATAGAGTATCAAACTATGTACATGTTTATTTTAATAATAGTAGACTTATAAGTAAATATCGCTTTGTACTTTACATAAATAATTTTTTTTTCGTAACAAAACTCAAAATTTTGTGATAGATAAGACTTTTTTTTTAATTTTAACAAACAAATTTTTCCCTTTAGTAAAGAAACTGACATTTTGTGCACAGAAAAAAAGAAATATTTGATCGAAATAAGATTTATTTGTGACAAAGATATAAGATGTTTGGATACGGCCAAATAAATATTTATTTCTGATAAATATTTGAGCGATTTAATTGCGGAAAATAAATCATAGTTGACGAAAATAATGAACTTTTAAAATTTATTTCATCAATTTTCAGAAATAAAAAAAAAATTAATTTTTATTCTTTTAGTTGAATAATGAAATATTTTCCGTGTCTTCTATTAAATGAAAGCAATATTGCAGCTTTGTCGAGTCATAGTTAAAGATAACAATAAAAATATTATTAAACAAATTTTATTTTTACTAAAAATTTTTTAAACAATATCATGAATAATACAATAAGATAATTTTTTATGAAACAGACAAAAATAATAAATAATCAAATATAAATTCTACAAAACCGTATAATCTATTTTTATTTTATTTTAGAATTTTAAACTTTAATAAATAACGCATATAATCATTAAAAAAAAATTAGGATGACGGTTGACCCTAAAGATCATCCCTGCAACTTCCCACTCATTTTGGACTTGAGCGCTTAAAATTACACATTACGTTTTTGAGCTCTTCGAGTTCAAAAATATGATTTTTGTGTCATTTTGAGCTCTCGAGCTCAAGACTCTAATAGCAGTTTAATAAAACACAATTTTTTGAATTTTCAAACGGCAATAACTTTTGAATGAATGAATCGATTTTCACACGGTTAGCGGCATTCGACGCAGTTTTAAAAGTCCCATAAAGAATTTTCAAGTTTAAATCAATCGAGTCAGGGATTTCGAAGTAATTCCGAAAAAACACTTTTTTTTTTGTTTTCTTTCGACAACGATAACTCACGAACGAATCAACCGATTTTGGCCAAGCTCGCAGTGATCGACGTGGTTATTTGATCTTAAGAGCTGATTAGATGTTGGAATTGATCAGTGAAGCCATTTAAAAGTAATTCCAAAAAAACCACATTTCAAAAAAAATTTTTTTATATTTTTTTTAAGATTTCTTAAAATCTACTGGTTCGAATCGGTCCAAACTGTATTCAAAATCTAAGTTTGGTCAAGCCCTTTCGAATGGCGCCAACCGCGATGAAATCGGTCAAGCCGTTCAAAAGTTATAAGAGGGTCACATGCATATACACACACACACACACACACACACACACACACACACACACACACACACCACCCACCACACCACCACACACACACACACGCACACACGCACACACACACTTACCAGGAGGAAGAGCAGTAGCTAGATCCTCCCCTCACGAAGTAATGCCTAACGGCGGTTTCCATGAGGGATTAGAGGAAAGAGGAAAAAGGGGTTTAGGGTTTAGTGGGTAGGGGCGCCAGCGTCAAGTTTTGGTATGACGCTGCGTCGAGTCGCCACATATCCAGGCCAACAACTATGCCTAGAATCCGTAAAAAGGATTCCCCCCCCCTAAAGG